GCTACAAAAATCTTGTCTGCCTTCCACCAAAAATCTCTCAAAGTCTTCAAAAAAGAATAAGCTGCACAAATCCAGAAATGACCTTGAGGTTCTTCTGTATTTATATGAACAACCTGCATTTCATTTGTTGAGTGACTCAGGATCTATGCTATTCATTTATTTGTGGCAGGTTAAACAGTCAGCTGGAGTGTATATTTTATGGTTAAATTAACCTGAACTAGGTTAATTATGGTGACAATTGAACCTCAGTCCTATACCTTGCAGATTGGACCTTGGTGAGACCATATTCCACTCTAAGCTACAGTGTATCAAACACAAACTTCTGATTGGAAGCAGTTTCAGAATCAATTTACATTCAAATAAAAAGGCACTCCAGTGAGAGGCACATCAAGATGTTTAAATTATGGGGCATGTGGGGTTCATCAACCAAGGAAAGCCGCTGTAAATCAAGCTTATGGTGAATGGGTTAAACATACAAGGGGGTTTTAGTGCATGAGCAACACTTCCTAGTATCTTTTTCTAGTTTTAGCAACTTAAATGGAAATCTTAAGGAAATAGCAAGGAGTAAGTAAGGTTTTTACAAATGACAACTACCAACCATATTTATAGTTTTCCACTGGTCCTGTCATGCCAGCTTTAAAACTAAGGAATAACTAGCAGTAGGAACACATTTCAATATATACCAAACTAGAATGAATAGGAGGGAGGGCAAGAGAGAAATGAGGCCAGCAGTGTGAAGGGCTTTTAAAAAGAATTACCCTTTGTTCTTGCTTCTTTTGTAGATTCTACCATTTTGTATTATATGTGGATTTTCCTTGCTGGATTATCCTATTCCACGTCTTACCTTCATTTCCTAGCCCTGAGCCTTGCAACAAAATAGGTGTTTGTTGAATGGGTGCGCAGTAACCAAAGTGGCACTCTCTGTCTGGATATCTAAGCACTCATTCATGCAGGACATTATTCCTAAAGAATGTGCCTTTGCAGGAACAACAACAACAAAAATATTATTTGGTGGTCAAATGGATCCTATGAATAATTGTTTAAAGCAGGGAGACAAAACACCTCCCTTTCATAGCTCTCCCCTTTCAATCCCCTTTTCTTTACTCTAGGCACTCTGTGCTCTCGTGCAGCTTCTAGGGCCTCTTTTGGTCCTAGCTACTTAATTAATACTAAAGAAATGCTGACTTGATATGTTTCCCAAGCACTTGCATTTTAAGCAGATTCCTAAAGAGAACAATGTTCAACCCATAAATTGAATTTCTAATGGTAAAATTTTAGGCAAAGTCCCTTTTAAGCACAAATCTAACTTTTCTTAGTAGTTAATTTCTCTATGCTACCAAAACCACCTATTTCATTAAGTCCAACAAATGATAAAACAATTCAAACTAGTCTAGCATTTGACTAGATCCACAAAGATAGGCAAACTACAACCCAAAGGCTAAATCCAGCCTACCTCCTGTTTTTGTAAATACAGTTTTATTAGAACACCACCATGCTCACTCATGTATGTATTGTCGAGTTTGCTTTTGAGCCTCAGTGGCAGAGCTTGCAACAGAGACTGTGTGACCCACAAAGCCTTAAGTATTTACTATGCAATCCCTGGGTTAGGTTGTTCCCTTCTTCAGCTGGCTCTTAGGTTATCTTCTATTTTTCCAGTATGTACTAGTCCAAGCCCTTGTGAGTTATTCTTATTTCCAAGTTTCAGTAAAAGCTGCCTCTGTTTTGAGAACCCTCAGTGTGTAGCCTGGAATGCAGAGCCTGCACTTTTGAAACATAAACACTTTGTCTCGATATAATTTTAGTACTTCTGGAACTCCCTAGGAAATGAAAAACACCAAGAAGCTCCTCCGACAAAATTCAGCTCATACTGAGAACATGTATCTTTGCAAGAGGTCTCTTCTTGCTCACCTAAACCAGGAGCAAAAACCTTTTTTGGAGAGCCAAACTTTTTCCAATAACATTAAGAGAAAATTGTTTGACCTGCTTTGCTCCTTGATGTGAAATAATTTATTACTTATAATAGATAACAGTAAAGTATAAAAGTCTAATTCCACTTAAAAGTTGAAAGATTAAGCGAATTAATATGGAAGTTGACATCTCCATCGAGATGAACAGCATAAAGATATGAAGCTTTCTATAGTTTTATCATCCTCTATATTTAAAAGTGATTGGAGAAGTATTCTGGTTGATTTCCAAAATAAATCACATTTGAAATAACTTTGTATCAGTGATGTAAGAATTTGTAGAATTGAGTACTATGCTGTTTTTACAAAATCTTATCTTTTTCAAAATTGAATAAGTATTAATTTGTCTCCTGATCATGTTGCTTTCTAAGCACATCTGCCTGGCTGGAGGAGGTAAACGAAGACGATTTCAATCATCTTTAACTTGAGGATGAATTGGGGGACTTCTTTTGAGTCTGGCATCGTAAAGATGGAGGAGAGAGACCAGGACAGCAGGTAGGATCACTTGGAAGCTGCTTTTCTTCTCCCGTTAAGCACTTGTGAGAGAACTGTTTGAGAGCTGAGCACCCATAAAAGTATTCAAGAGTAAAAGGTGGAATGATTCTGACACTTATTAAGCACCTCCCATGCTCTAGGCACTGCCCAACAGGCTCCACCCAGCTCAGCTCACCTGATCTTAAAACTTGGAGTGTAGACTAAACAGCCAGTAAGTTGCAAAGTGAGAATTTGAATCCAGGTGCCTTAACAAAGCTCTTTTCAAGATGTGATAAGGGGACCATTTTGAATGATTGAATGTCTCGAAGGAAAAAGGAGTGAGGGCAGCTGTAGTTCCAGGTTGATGGCACTGCTGGGTGTTTACGTCAGGAAGCACTTAACTTTTTATGAGTAATTTCAAAGGTGAAGAACATATAACTTGGGGAATAAGATGGTCTGAGGCCCAGCTCTGCTACTTACATAACTCTGAAGTTCTAAATTCTTGATTTCTTCATCTGTAAAATGGAAATAACAATTCCTCCTTCACGGACTTTCAAGGATTACATGAGGTAATACACATGCCAAATGTTTTGCAGAGCACTCGAGCCACTGTTAGACATTATTATCCCTAAGAGGTAAATTATCAAAGGCATAACTATACTGTTTTTGGTAATATTAGTACAGCTGGCAACCATATTTTAAAGTTCTATCGGTTGGATTTCAATAACAGTATTAGAAATCTCCGCTTTACCTCACTTTCACCCATGTTCTTGAAAGCTTGTATTATTAAAATATTAAAATTCAGTCTAAATAAACATCACTCTTGAAATATTTAATTTTTCATTTTACTTGTTGAAAGATAATAGCAAATAATTTCTTGCAGAAGACAATAAGTAGTGCTATTTACTTCACAGTGATTACAATTTTTGTATTTGCCTTCTTAATCTGTAACAGATGTGGAATGACATGGCTTTGTCTCACCCCACCTCCAATGCTCAGTGCAACATATGGCACTGAATCAGATTACACTCTGGACGTGACACAGTAAAATACTCACGTATCCATGAGGAGAATCCAAGTCTGCTGTTATTGTACTTTTTGCTAGTTTATTCAGCATGCGTCTAACATTTTTGGTGTTGTTATTTGGCTAGGAAAATTAAAATCCTGAAAGTGAACAAAATTTTCCAAAGAAATGTTAAATTAATTTTGTAGATCTCAAGTTACTGACAGGGAGGCATATATATTAAATTTTCAGTGGCTTTGAAAGTTAATACTTGTCAGAAAAGCCTGTAGAGGGGCATTAATGAGATGTATTTGTATTACGGCAATTACAGAGTAGAAATAATTTTGCAGTCTGGTTAGAAACATGACCATTAAGATAAAAAAAATCATGTCATCCTCCAAAATAGGCCTATACATAATTTATTAATGGAGATATTGCAACTATCAAACTGAAAAAGCAAATGTACTTTATTCAGGGACCTTATACCATTAGAAATTGTAGCTGACAGAGGCTCATACTGATGAGCAAAATGCAAGGTGGAAAAAAACACAGCTGAATCTAAAACTCTGGTCCTCTTTTGCTTATAAATATCACAACTGTATATGTATTGAACATAAATTGTCTCAAACCTCTACACAAATATTATTGCCCTCTCCCCAAAAGAAGAAACCTGCAGGAGCTGCAAACAGCTGTGGCTTTCATTGTACCTCAAAAGATTTTGCTACTTAAAATTCCTCTTACTATGGTTTGGAAGAGTTGATGACATTTTGTGGATTCGAGAAACCAATTCCTTTAAATCTCCTGCAGTCAGTTCTTGCCCTTCTTTCCTCATTAACATGAAAAAGGCATGAGAGAAACAGGAAGAGGCAGAAGTGCTAGTTTCCAGTCCTCCGTCCTTGAAGCTCAGGTTGAGGTCAGGACGAGAGATACTGAGGTGAAGTTCATCCACTGTGGGACTTCACTACTACCCCGTGACACCCAAACTCCCCTTTGTGGGCTACAACAGCAGCATCTGGAAAGAAATGACCCTGTCTTAGCCATCTGAGAGTAAAGCCCAAAGGGCAGATGGTGAAAATACCTGAAAGCAACCATATGGCAGCTCAAAGACTATGTGGTCCTGATGTAGGCAAAGGTGAGAACTCCTTCTTCTGGGATTGTGGAAATTGTTGGGGTTTGGGGGTCAGTCAGGAGGCAGGGATGTTCTCTTACTTCCAAAAGAGGGAATTTAGATCAATTGTTATTTACCATTTTAGGAAACTTTTGTTCAGGAATGAATTTCATTCTTGCATGTTTGTCCTTGTAGAAGGAAACAGCACCATTTGCTTCATAAGTGTTTCCTTTTCAGCATACCACAGCTTAGAAATTTGGTTCTATTAATACTAATATCAAATATGTAAATTTAAGAGAATGAGACTGTCAAGTGATGGGCACAGGCTCTAAAGAACCCCTGCTGGAGGAAGAAGTGAGAGCATCATTTGTTCCCCATGGTCCCTGGGGGACCCCACTGCAGCTTGGGTAATGAGAATGAGCATTTGTTTCAAAAGTCAGAATCACCTCTCTCCTGACCACCATCATTCCTTTTATTAAGCATATTTTACTGAGCATTAAACAGCACAAATCCAAATGATAAAGTGCAGGCCACTGCACAGGCCTGTAATTCAGTTCAGCTTGGGTGTGAGTGTATGGACACACACCCCACGCTAACACACACAGACACACCCACACCCAGAATCTTGCACATTTTACCATCCTGCAACTACAGCATTTTAGAGAGCCCCATATCTTTAAAAAAATAACACCCTGGTGCATATGCGTACACACTTTCTTTTCCTGGTCAAATGCAGCAAGTGAGATTTATTTTAAAAGAAGAAGAAAAAAAAGACTTACACCAATGAGGTTATCTAAAAGGAAGCAAATTAAACAGAGCCATACTGATAACAGCTGATGTCTGGTTATAATTCACTTCCCTAATGCTGATTAATATATTCACAAACAAATCGAATGTGTTGCCAAAAGATAAACACTGCTGTTAACACCCCAACAGCTACTGGTTTCAGTTGTGCTTCTCGATCAGGCAAAATGCTCTTTCCCCAGCTCCTAACACTGTTTATTTTGCTTCCTGCCAATCTTGCAAATAATTCGTCTTGCGTGTCGTTTCCTCATAAATGCTTCCTGGTGCTTGATCACTTTGCCTGTGTGGCATTTGATTGCAAACTGCCATTTTACCTTTATAAACATTTAGAACTTTCTAAGCGTGAGGAGAATGCCCAAAAGGCATGCAAAAATGAGGCTGTAATTAGATCAGCAAAGTATGCCTTACAGCCTATCTAGCTTTCTGTGTATACCAGAAATCTCTCTTTGCATCCAATATTGCATTCCCAATCTGGGTGCAGAACAGTAAATTAACATTTACTCCAGCAAAGAGGCCCTGGTATCAACATGTTTAATTTATTATTATTGCAAACGACAGTTTTCCCATGATTAGTGAAATAGAATACATATAATATATTTAAGGATCTGCACCCAGACCACAAAAAAGGGGGGTAGGGATGGAGGGTAGGAGAAAAGCAGAAAATAAAAGAAAAAATAGAAGTAATATCAGTTACCACCTGCTTTTTGTGGTTAAAAAATAGAATATGACGTGCAATAGTGCAATTTTCCTTTGCTAGTCCAGCGACGCAAGTCTTAATAGGAAGTCCACTGAGGATTTTCTGCATTTCAGGATTTAGTTGCGTGCTTGCCGGGGGTTAGAGTTCCTACCAGACTTCTGACTCTGAGTGGAATCACTATGGCTAGAATCACTTTTATTCAGTCCAAGATGACGGAGCTTCATATCCCAGCGCTGTGAAATTTAAAACAGAAAACAGTCACAAGCACATATTACCAGGGTCATCACTTCTATTATTCTAACAACTGAGTAAGACTGCAAAATCAGATCTCAAAAGCATTTTACTACTTTTCCAAAAGTATAAAAATCTATATCCCAGGGTAACAATGAGATGGATGCTATGTAAACATAATTCTTTTATTTGAAAAAGCACAAAATTGGCCACTTGTATCAGTAATGCTTTCATATCAAATCTTTAACTTAAAATATCCAATAAACGGTGACACAAATATACATTGATATCTGTGGGTATTTCCTGAGGTAACATACACAAGTCTAGTACTTCATGGGTGACCAACAAATGGAAGATTTACATAGAGAATTTGAAGAAAGGGCTACTTTTTATTTTCCTCTCTTATGACTTGTAAAAACACAGTCTTTTAAACCTGTGTGATTTGAGTGGTGAAAAAAATGAAAATGGGGGGAGGGGGTAGAGTCCCTTAAAAATATTTCCTAAATAATATCTACCAAGTGCAACAAAACAGAACAAAGTTCTGCCCTTATTCTACGTTTTACAAAGCAGACATCACCAATGTTTCTGATAACTACAATCAAGCTTATTAATATTTCATATAAACAATTTCAATAATGTTTACATTATTGAATATAATAATTTAAAAGGAAGTTATATTATGGTATTACAGGTAGTAAATAAGAATAAGGGCTATAGCAGTACTTCTTAAACTTCAATGAATATATAAATAACTTGGAGATCTTGTTAAAGTTGCAGATCCTCATTCAGTGGGTCTGGGATGGGGCCCAAGATTTTCATACCTAACAGGCTCCCAGGTGATGCCCGTGTTGCTGGTCCAGGGACCACACTTTGAGCAGCAAGGAGCTAATGTCAGATGGCCCAAGTTCAAATTCTAACTCCGTCAGTTACCATTCGAAGATTCTTGGACTTACTAGCCCTTATCATTTACATATTAGAATTAATTCTAGCATCTCCTTAGTGTTCTGAAGATTCACAGATGAAAAACATATAAAATTCTTAGTAGATAACAAATTCTCTATTTTCAATTACTGAAATTACTGAAAGTAATTCTTCATTTTAGCACACTTAACTCCTCAATCTTATTGGATTTTCATATAAAAAAAAAAAGTCTGAATTTCAGCTCCCCAAGGCAGGTCAAATATCTTGATTTGAACAACCTGCTATTACAGAAACTTAGGTTTAAAAAAAAAATTTGCATTGCAAAACCATAAAAAAAGTCTTTATTTAATTCTTGATCTATCCCTGAGCGCAAAAAAAAAAATCAGCTGAAAAGGACAACTTTTATTTTAAAAAAAACCAGTATCCTCCATAAAACTCTTTTTTACATCTTCAGAACTGACTGGAAAACTACAGTAAGGATCTCAGTAATTCTAGCCAAAAGAGGTTTCCCATTCATGGTCTTTAACCCTGAGTTCTGTATATGAATTAAAAATTGTTCAAGTTATTTCTTCCCTTCAGCATGTTTAAATCCAGACTGAAAATATAAATGAGTTCACAATAATAACTGTGAGCTCCCTGTAGAAAGCAATGGAAAATATCTTTGCCTTACTAAGATAAAGGACAAACACGCCATGTGTCCTGGGTCTTTACACGATGGTAATTGTTTTGGTACCAAAAGAGAAGCAGCAAGCCGTGTTATATGCTTTGCAGCAATTCCAACTGGTACAGGAATTTAGGACAAATTCCTGTTCTGCATTAGCAAGCAGAAAACGGAATTAAAAGGACAGTAAGAGATTCCAATACACTGAAGAAGAGCTACTTTTTAACAGACACCAAACAAATTGAAAAGAGATACAAATAGAGAATTCTCATGAGTCTGAACTTGAAATACATCTCACTTTTGACAAAATACAGGAGCAGAGGTGGGGGTGGGGCGGGGAGGGAGGGATAGCTTTCTGGAGGGTATTTTCTCCCTGCAAAATAATGCCCTCTACGTTTCTTGTAGGTCACTTAAACTGAAATGTGTCTGCTGTGTCAAGTGCCAGGTGTATAAGATAAACTGCCTGGGGGTGTTTAACTTACACTTGTAAATGTTTCCCAAGCCTTCAGACTCAGAGGGAAGAGGATATATTATGTTTGGTACAATTCCCACTCTCCCCTCCCCCCCTTTTTGCCCACTACACACACACACACACACACACACACACACACACGCGCGCGCACCGTTTTTGATTCTTTGCCCTTCTGTGCCTACTACCCACATTCCTTTTGTTGAAACAGATTTGCTTAGTAAGAGGAAATGGAGCCTTCTATAATAAGGTGATTTACTGTGATTTTTTTTAAAGTGCGTCACTTACAGAATCTAAGAGTCATTGGCTTAAAAATAAAGCTATGGGGCTTCCCTGGTGGCACAGTAGTTGAGAGTCCGCCTGCCCATGCAGGGGATGCGGGTTCGTTCCCCGGTCCGGGAAGATCCCACACGCCGCGGAGCGGCTGGGCCCGTGAGCCATGGCCACTGAGCCTGCGCGTCCGGAGCCTGTGCTCCGCAACGGGAGAGGCCACAACAGTGAGAGGCCCGCGTACCGCCAAAAAAAAAACAATAAAGCTATGTTTCTGCTCTAAGGACCTAATTTGGTCAGATCTCTTATATACAGATGAATGTGGCTGCACCTTGTACATAGGAACTGGTGTCTATGCATTGGGACAATATTGGCAGTTTTGTACCCAAGCTTTATTCTCCCCTTCTTCTCTGACTCACAGAACTGCAATTGTTCAAGGAACCAACATATTCAGCTAAAAAAACTACATTTTCTAGTTCTCTTGCAGCTAGGGATGGACAGGAGACCTAGTCCTAAGTAAAATTGCTAGGTAGGATGCTTGGAATCTATTTTTACCTCCCTTTTCTTTCTCCCTGAAATGTAGGTGTGATGTGGAGGTAAGGCAGCCAACCTGTGACGTCCAGCTAACCTTGAATATGGAAGCAATATCTTTTAAAATGACCGATCCGTAAGCTAGAGGGAGCCTGGAGCCCTAATGATAATGTGGAGCCACCAGAGCAGGGCTGGCCTAACTACAGCTAGACTTCCCATGGTGGGAAGTTAGACAGCTGTAGTTAGATCTCTGATACACACACAGAGAATTCGCTCCTTAAATGAAACAGACATTACAGACAAACTCAGTTCTTGGAATATTAAATATATATGTATCAGGTTTTAATATTTCTCATGAAGTTGAGGGCAGCTATTTTGTTTAAATGACTGTCTTTCTACTTTTATTTTCTGTTTATCATTTTGAACATAAAATTTAGGCTTACCTTAACTTTTTTACCAAGTCGATCCTTCCATTTCTCAGCAATAGAACCTTCCACCAACAGTAATCTATATTTTTAAAGAAGCAACCATTTTTGAAACATTAAAATATATTACTGAAAAGTACAAGGGATCATTGTCAGAAAGACTTACTGTTTATACTAGACTAGGACAGCCAAGTTTTAGAACAGTAATTCTAACTAATTGGGAGTCATGGACCCCTCTAAGAACAAACGAAGCTATGATCCCACTCCCCAGAAAAATGCACACCCACAAATTTCCCACATATACTTTTGTATCCAATACATGAAATTGAAGGACCCAACTAAAACTGATCTTTAATCCCTCAGAAGGTAGACAGATCCCGAAGTAAGAACCCAGGAGTCATTATTCTGAATCCTTAAGGAGCGAATTACCTGGAGCGTTCCTCATCTTCATAGCCCATGATGAGATACTCTTCATTGACGTTAAGTGGAGGACACAGGCAACCAGAGCTGGTGTAAAGGTTAACAGTGTCCCTTGGAATGTTTACCAGAGAAGCCTTTAAAATCTCCTTCACCTCCACTACTGCAGTCACATCATGGCACTTGATCTTCACTTCTTTAACTTTAGCCCGAATGACTGGGTAAAAGACAATAAAGCTGATGTGGTAATATGATACACAATAGGCACCCCATTCAAAAAAGACACATAGGCTTCTTTCTAGTCAATTCATATCCACTTAATGCTCAAAGAATAGAGAGGAAAAGTCAACCATATATTTTCACCTTAGACAGTAGTGAGTGACACACTACACAACACACCTGCCCCCTTAATGTTCAGCCCTGATCCCCTTTGCATGTAAGTTTATATTTGTGTGTATTTGCATGTAAGTTTATATTTGTGTGTATATAAGCATACATGTGTGCATGTATTTCATGGTGAGAAACCATTTAGATAATCAAAGATTGAATCTGGATGTAATTTTCCTTCAAAATTTCATTTTGGATGTGTGTATATGTATATGTGCAGTTTCAATTGTGCCAAGAAGAATTTAAACTATATTAATTTCACTCTATGTAAAGACCTAGTACTTAAATATTCTTTGTTGCTTTGTCAGCATTCTTCTATAGGGTCTATTAACAGATTTTCTAAAGAGTTGGGGTTTTCTTTAGCGTCATAAAGTTGTTCTGTTCTACGGTGTCCCCAAGCTTGTTCTTCCATCTTTCCACCTTCCTCATCTTAGCTCACTGTTCAGACATCTGCTCCTTTCTTCCTTTGTTTCAGTATAGATTATCTTTCATACCCTCCTTTAGGTATACTGCATTTTCTTTTTGAATAAAAACTGTCGCCACTCATGTGCTATGGAATGTGGTCTAATATGTCAATTGCATTAATTTACCTCTTTCAAGGGATATTCTAGCACCCAATTTATAAGACTCGGTTTGACTTCTCAATATAAAGACAAACTGCCTTAAAAATAATTCAGTTGCAAAGTCAAAGTATTTGACTCAGAATCTAGAAAGTACAGTTCTCCTTCTTTTCTGTATTTCTCTCCTTTGGAAGAGCCAAATTCTTTAGATTCCTACTTCTGGTAAATGAGCTTTTTACTTTTTTTTTCCTAAAGGGGGAGTTTGAAAAAGCCTAAGAAGAAGCAAAAATGTCAATTAGTAAGAAGCCAGTGGCTTTTGACCAGGCAGCCTCATTGCTCTAGTTCAATATCCATGGATGTTATACAGAGGAAAACACAACATATCCAAATGAATGTACTTTTTGAAAGGCTCTTAGGCATATATCTGTAAACTACTTTCATCTGAGTCCCTTCCCACATATTTTAGGGGTTTTGAACTACAAAGAAAAAAGTAATCCGTGAAAATATAAAGCCAGCTAATAAGCCATTGCCTCCCATCAATGCCCCAATTTCATACAGAAACTTATTCAATAACATTCCACCAGTACAAGACACATACAATAAAAATTAAGCTACTAATTCTAAAAACTTTGGGACAAAACCTCATTTTTGCTTCACAGGTATTTCAATCTTCAGAGAACTAGTTGCCTCAAGTATGAGAGCTTATATTAAGCAAAATGTAACTGCCCAGCTGTCCCTGCTTGGTGTGATTTGTGAGTGAAGGAGTCCCTTTTTATTAGTGTTCTACTCTTATTTTAACAAAAGATAAGATTGCCCTTTTTGAAATGTCATTTGGGAGAATCAGATGATAGATTCACAACCCCAGCTAGCAGACATTTTTGTGCGTCCTGGCTTATGTGAATGTGCTTCATAGCATTCATCAACTATCATAGATTAGTGAACTGTGCAAACCTTCTCAAACTAATGATTTATTTACCCGGTGTGTCTACTATTTTCATTAGAAATTTTTAGCACATGTACCCACTCCAAAATAAATATCTCTCTACAAGACTTACTTTATTATTCAAGCAATTTTGTTAAAGCTCAAGAACTTTTAACTGAATTAATCTGAATGAAGCAGAGGTTTTATCTGAATTATCAAATGCTCCCACCCCCACTTTGTTTTCTCAGTAGACACATGTAGATATTTAAGAAAGACAAAAATCAACATATTTTGGAATTTAAAATGTATTTTCTTTGCAGAGTTTTTCCTTCTATTTAATCATTTCAGTGCCTGCCTTCCCCAAAGAATCTCTGAGTAAGCCTCAGACAAGTGAAAATCCTTAAACTATGGGCAATCTAGTTATTGTTTGGCTATGAGAAAGAAATTATCTTTTTTCCATTAACTGTGCTCTGTATCCCATTTTCGGTTGTAATTTTCACTCAGCTACCTCGTTGCTGATTTTCTCTTCCCCTGACTTGTACCCAGTAGTATTTTATCTTTTAACAAAAATAGCAGCACTAACCACTGCAGCACTAAGAAGGTTGGGTGTAGTAAAAATTAATAAGTAAAATAAATATAAATTCAACTAAAATTCCCCAATATAAAATTTCTATCATGCTTTTGTTTTTAATATAACCATACTTAAAAGTTCATATAGCATTTTTCAGTCTTACAAAGCTAATCTCCTAAAAATTAAGACTTCCTTTTTCTTGTGATAGTTCATATCACTTTGTAGAGGAGAGGGTCCTCAGATGAGCAGCCAGGTAAACATTTCAACCTTGGAAAGTGTGTCTACCATTGGCTAAGAGAAACTATAGATTCCTCTAAAGATGTTAGTAAACAAAAAATAAAAATTGATTCCGTTGAAGAAGAACTTGAGAAACTAGGTATATTTATTTTAAAGAGATTTAACTACACTGAATTTTTTACTTGATACCTTTCAATACACAGTATTCTCAAAGATATCAAAGATTACTCTTACAGAGATTTACCCATTTCTCTCCATCCAATTCCCAAAATTATAAAAGCAGGATAAGTGTGCCGTGTATGTCCTATATTCTTTAAAGTAGGGCATGTAAACTCAATAATAAAGTCCTCATTTTAATAATGTAGGTGCATTTAAAAATCTATTTAATTGCCATGTTTATTCATTTACTCAGCACCGACAGAGACAGTAACATGAACTTTATTAATCTCATAAATGCCACAGGGGGAAAATCATAATAAAATGCCTATGGAATACAGCAAATACTGATTTGTTCCTTATTTTATCAACTGGAAAACTCTATTAATTGACCCTTTGAAATATAGCGGTAATTGATATTTGTGACTCTGAAGCATCCCAGTACCCAAAAGTAATTCTGAATAATCAAAGGAAAGACAACTTAGGTTCAATAATCATTGATAAAATAAGGATAATAGAACGTCTCATGGCGCAGTTGAGAAAATCACATAAGACAGTGTATAGAAACCGCCTAACACAGTACTTGGCACAGAGGCAGCAGGCTTTTTCCTCCTCCAGTTAAATTTGTCAGCTACATTTAGATTGGTAGCTCTTCAATTAATATTTTGTTTATCAGAATACCACATGTCTAGGCCAGTCTAGATAACAAAACATTTCCTTAATTGAATACTAACAACTTTTGTGTTACTTTCCAACTCTGCCAATGTTTTCCATGAGTTAGACTGAAGAAACCCAGTTTGATTCTTTTAACCACTCATAACACATTGAAGTGCTCCTCTGTTTACCCCACTTACTGTTCACCCCCGTAAATCACAACTGATGACCCATTGCAGCTCCAGATCCTCCCTGGCCCGTCAGAAAGGGAAGAGTCCTTCCCATCTGTTTTGAAATGTATCTCTGTGTACTTAACTGCATGGTTCTAAGATGCCAGCAATGCTGCCTGATACGCTTCAAAAAAATCAAGAATTTGTTGAGAATGGTCCCCTTATGAGACCGTTTAGTTGTTTGGAACAGGGAGAGTTTGCTCTTAAAAGTTGTCCTTGTTGGGGCTACCCTGGTGGTGCGGTGGTTAAGAACCCACCTGCCAGTGCAGGGGACACGGGTTTGAGCCCTGGTCCGGGAAGATCCCACATGCCGCGGAGCAACTAAGCCGGTGCACCACAATTACTGAGCCTGCGCTCTAGAGCCTGTGAGCCACAACTACTGAGCCCGTGTGCCACAACTACTGAAGCTCACGCGCCTAGAGCTTGTGCTCCACGACAAGAGAAGCCACGACAACGAGAAGCCTGCGCACCCCACGGAGCCCCCACTCGGGGCAACCAGAGAAAGCCCACACACAGCAATGAAGACCCAATGCAGCCAAAAAAAAAATCAATTAAATAAATCAATTTAAAAAAAAGTTGTCCTTGTTTGTTTTTAAGCCTCATTCTTATTTACACACACATACACATCATTTCTTAACTCAGCAGTTTATAAATCAATCATGAAGTTATCCTTACCATAGTTGTAATTGTTTCGGAAATAGGTCTTCTGTGTAGCTCTGATAGGTTTACATTTGCAGCGTTCTAAAAAATATAACATTTTATCTATTATAAGCAAAACTTCAACGTCAGCTTTCTTTTGTTTATGCACATTTTTTTGGTAATATTAGATCCAAGTTCGGTAGCAAGGAGGCTCTTAGTAATTCTACGTGTCTGGTCTCTTTCTCCTGGAACTACATTCACGTTTATTCTAGATACATAGCCTCTTATTCAGTGTCAAATGCTCATAAGTTCCCATTCTCCAACAAACAACCCAGATCCTGAGGAAACACTTCATCACCATGCGGGAGGAGAGCATGACTCCAGAGTCCTGAAAGAGACATGCTTAGTGCTTGTGGCAGAAGAATCAATGCCAACTGAGAGGCAATTTATGCTTATGCTCAGGTAACTGGTTTACCCCTGTGCAAGATCACTTGCATTCACGGACATTTTACAGGTTACACAGCACCCCTCCAAATATTAGTTTCCGGATCTAAAAGCAACTCAGTGAGATAAGCAGGTATTGTTATAACCCAGTGAACTTATTGAAGAGGCATGAGTTCCTTCTTTTTTATTTAATTTTTACTTTTTAAATTTTTAACTGAAGTATAAATGAGTTACAATATTATACTTGTTTCAGGTGTACACCATAGTGATTATCATGACTACCTTCTACAGGCAGAATAACTGCTATTAAACTCAATGGTATTTTTATGTTTATTGGCAGAAATTACTAGATACATATTTCAAAATGAGAAGTTCTGTGCTTTTTAAATATTTGGTGAGTGGTGACCAGAACACATATTCTATGTGACATAATACAGGTGTATGTAATAAACGTAATTATCTCAAAATGTTTCATGTATTGGATAAATCATTTAACATCTTGGAGAGTGGATTACTATATTGTTTATAGATTACTATATTGTTTATAGATTACTTAGCTAAGAAATATACAATATATATACATCATACATCATAATATATATACATCATAGTAAATTCTTAGTCATTAAAGTCAATATAAAAATAGGAAATAAAACACAATTACCTTAGAAAGCATTTTAGTTTATGTAAAGATTTCTTTAAAATAGTACCCCTGAGAAAGATTCATTGAAGATGAAATGGTATGTGTTTCTTCTATTTTCACACAGAAAAAGGAAAAATGAACACATGAACCACAGAAAAGAAGCCAACAAAAAATTTTTGTTTAAAAAGTGTTTTATGTTAGCATGGAGACTAATAAAAGGCAGAAGCTTTCCTTGACCATTTGACATTGTGTTTTCTAATCAAAATAAATGTTATTTCCAGTTGAACTCACAGATAACATGCTTTGAAGTAGTAGTCCCAAGGGATGTAACACCTCACTACCCGATTTTCAATTCTAGAAATAAGCGTCTCTACTGGGGACAGGTGCTGGTCTCCAAAGCAGCAGCAGCAGCACTGTTGTTCTCACCCAGGAGAGAAGTGAGGATGTCCTCAGGGCTACACACAGCAATTCTCTTGTTCTGCAGATAATTTTTAACACTGTTTTTGTGGAAGAACAATCTCAGCCCAATAAACCATACGTAACATCAGTGCTGGTTGCTATTTTGAAGAAGACTCTTCAAAAAATAACTTTCTTATTAGCAAAACATTTGTATTCCCGTTTAAAACAGAATAGAAAGTTATCTAGTTCTATTGTTTTATTTTGTACCAAAATATTACACATTTTTAAAAGAGAGATATTCTTGAGATTGACATTATTTCTGAAGAAATATATGTTATGGTCTTTGACTTACAAGTTATCCTCACCCATATATAGATATGGATTTATGCTTTTCTACCTCTTTATATTTTTTTAATTAAAATTTTTTTTTTATTGGGGTATAGTTGTTTTACAATGTTGTGTTACTTTCTACTATACAGTGAAGTGGAGTTCCCTGTGCCATACAGCAGGTTCTTATTAGTTATCTATTTTATACATATTAGTGTATATATGTCAATCCCAATCTCCTAATTCAGTTATGCTTTTCTATCTCTTTAAAAATAGATATTTATTTATTTATTAATGAATAGATATTTATTCATTAAAAATAATGAATGTAGATAAATTATCTACATATTTGTAATTCTTCAGAAAATTGCACATGTTCTAATAAAAAATTCTTGGCAAAAATACACCAGCTGTTACTGGATTGCATCTAATATGTTGTTGTTACCATATAGCTTTGCTTGAAGCATAAAAAATGGATTCTAAAACACTTTCCAGGCAGAGATTTTTCAAAAAAACTATATCATAAAACAATTTAGGAAGATTTCAAGTAGGTGTTTCCACAACCATATGTACAACTACAGGGCTTCCCTGGTGGCGCAGTGGTTGAGAGTCCACCTGCTGATGCAGGGGACACGGGTTCGTGCCCTGGTCTGGGAAGATCCCACATGCCGCAGAGCGGCTGGGCCCGTGAGCCATGGCCACTGAGCCTGCGCGTCCGGAGCCTGTGCTCCGCAATGGGAGAGGCCACAGCAGGGAGAGGCCACAGCAGTGAGAGGCCTGAGTACAGAAAAAAAAAAAAAGCTTGAAACTCATATGTACAACTACATGTATTAGCTAGTCTCTTTCCTAATAGCTAACGACCTAAGTAATTATTTTCTTGGGACTAAATTTTGTTCCTCCTCAATGCACTTGTTTCTGCTGCTGGCCTCAGAGGTGGCAATGCCATACTATATGTTTGAAAACTTTCCTATGCTCCAAACCTTAGCTCTTGCTATCAGCAAATATCTGTCTGGTTGAAGTAACTAGTAGCTCAAAAAATAACAGAGTAATAAGGAGGAGTGGAATTTTATATCTACAAGGCTCAAATACAGAAGAACTTTCACTTACTTATGCTAACTCAACTCAAACATTCATATCTGAAGGTTTTCATGAAAAGTGTATTTTAGATCAACATATCTGGAAGATTATCCCTTTTCTAAAGTATTTCTACCCACATCTACATATATGTCTCCAAAAGCCCAAGAACTGGGAAATGGCCAAAAAAAAAAATCATAGAGGAATACACTGCATGCATTATTTACTACAATTTTTTGTACCAGCCACCCTAAATCAGACTGCAACAGCTTCTTTTCATTTTACTACCAATAGTTGATTTCTCAGACTTTTTATTGGGCCAGTAGCATTATCATCATATCTACTTTAATTCACCAATAATTTTGCCACTAGTGTCCCTCCCCCAGCTTGCCAATGGCACAGGTCTATTATTTTACTGAGCTTTGCACAAAAGACCACTAGATATTGACTTGCTTGCATTCCACCGTTAAGAAGAAAAACATGTAAAGGAACTGCCTTGGTGCTCTTATCTAAGGAAAAAATACGGCAAAATTTAAAGGAGTTGGCTGTGACACAGTAAAGAAGTGACAAGGAGTTCTTCTAGTGTGGGGAAAGTTTTAATATTAGCAATTCATTCACCTCGAAGTCTAGAATTAAATATAACCTGAATCACAGGATAACATGCAATCCTATATCTCACAAGCATCTGTGGAGCACAACCAGGAAATTGTCTTGGGCAGCTTTCCCTCATATTCTCTAGTTAGATTCTCTCAGCTACTCTTCTACAATCCAAGATCTCCTCCTCTGCTAATGAAACTGAAAACTGTTTATTATCCTAGTATGAACATGAGTTTACCACCCTAGAACACATAGGAGTTTGTGAAATTAACATGCCCAGTGCTGCACAGAACCTGGTCTGCAATTCAGGGGAGCTGCCCTATGGTGCACTGCAGTGCCTGAGCCAGGAACAGCTTCACTGTCTCAACACTGGGGCTTCTGAGAAACAGTTCCGAGTGGGAAGTCATCACATCCTTCTTTATTCATTTTTTTACACATAAAAAAAGAATCAGCTCATTTATTGAAAATACATAAAGACAATAGTCTTTTTTAAAGGGTTCCATAATTTTACAAGTCTAAAAATTATAAGTACCTGACAATTATGAAATTTGATACTCACCAGACCTTAACTATTTAAGGCAACCTTGTTTGAGTTCAAGCTTAAGTGTGATATGACTTTCTAACTAACCCTGACCTTTGTTTGAAATTGACTTCTGTTGGGTCTTCTCCAGAGCTGTAAGACTATAATTAACTTTGGCAGATTCCAAACCCCCTATAACCTTTCATGTACCATGACTTTGGAATACTACCATCTGTTAGTGAGTACTTTTCTGTTTTTTTTTAGGAAAAGGCCTTAGATCTGTGCTCAAGATTTATTTTCAAAAAGAAAATACAATTCTATTTGCATTACAATTTCTATTATAACTCTTTCAAGACGGACTCTAATCAGATCAGAGTTTAAATAATTTTAATTTGTACCAAATGAACTATATGTTTTATATTTGACCCTGAAAGCCCACTTGTCCACCTTCGCTCCATTTTAAGACACATAGGAGCAGACCACAACAATTTTTAAAACAGATGTAAAAAATAAAATGTTATGATCCTTAACTATGACTTCTTTACTGAGATCCAGATCTATATTTTCAATTGCCTATAAATGGTGTCCATGAGCCAGGCTTGAGTAATTTTAAACATATGTCAATGTCCATCACACCATAAAATTGTCTTTCTTCTATAGAAATAGCGTTTTCTGACTCTACAACCCTGGGATAGCTATGCTTCTCTAAATATAAGATGGAAAAGGAAAAGAGAACTAACATTTGTTGAAGCCTTTGAGTCACTTACATATTAATTCATTCATTCTACAAATAGTTATTGGGTGTCTATTACATGCCAAACTCTGTGCCAGGCATGTAGGACACCTGATGAGCAATACAGACAATTCAGAATAGGGTACAGACATTGAACAAATAATTACACACGAAATAATTTATTTTCATATGTAATACATCCTATGAAAGAAAAGTACAATGTGCAGTGAGAACATACAATTTGATGACCTAAACTAGTCTGGTCTTCAAAGTCCTCTGAGGAAATGACATTAAAGCTTGAAACCTGAAAGATCAGCTGTAGCTATCTAGGCAGGAACTACATCTTTATACATAAGATAGTGAAG